CTCAAAATGCACAGCTCAATTATTACTGAAGTAATCAACTGTTAAAGTTGTGTAACTGGTGAAAAGGATTTTGCCATACCTTGGTTGCTTGGATACCTAAACCAAACCTCACATTCATGTTTTTAAGATTTATGTTATTTTTCTTTGAAACCAAAACAAACAAGAACAAATTTCATTTGGTCATGCTATGAAATGTTAAAAAGAACTCTTCTGTTGGCCAAACCATGCACACTACACTATAGCAATAAAAAAAAAAAATGAGAAAAAAGAGGGGAGTGGGGGAGAACTGCATATTAATGATTTGTATCTGTATTTCAAACATGGATTACTACTCTTTTGAAGAACAGCACACGTGTGAAATAAGAAACAATGTTCACACTCTATTCTTTATTTTGGCACTGACCTTAGTGTAACACCCCCGTCTACTTGACCTGTACTGTCATCTGCAATGTAGCATTTTCATTGCCCTTCAGCATCTGTTGAGCAATTATATAGCAGTCCTAAAATTGTGATGGGAAAATTATCTAAGCTTCATATAGACTTTGAAAAGATATCACTCTTCTATATCTGAGAATGGCTGAATTTTGGGTGATGTATATTGTCTGTCTGGAAGGCTTTGTGACCACTTTTTCAAGAGTGTATCAAAATGAGGAAATATAAATTGACTCCAGGAATTACAGATTAAAACTAATGGAAAATGATTAGTAAAGTTATCTTATTAACGAGTCTCTACTCAGCCTGCACTGTTAGAATTTCTTCATGAATGAGCAAACTGCATGTACTTGCAGAAACTGATGGTAGGGAAGAGTTTTAACCTTTGCAAAGAAACATAGTTTCTCTGGTGACAACTGAAAAATGCACTCTTCCGTATTCCTAGCACAGTCAAATAGAATTGCTTACTCTGCTTTTCACTAGTTTAAGATATTTACATACAGGAAAAGGATATGAAAACAAGTAGATAAATGTAGGATAGAGTTTCATCTATGCTGGCACTAGATGAAGGTACTGTGCTCCAAGGACAGGTCTTGTAAATTTATATAGCTTTCCTTTAAGCTTCAAAACCGTGATTTGTTATTTTGATGCTCAACTGTAGTACCCAGAGGTGGTACTAAAGTGCCTCACATCTTTCACAATACCTACTCCTCTGTAAAATTTCTGACCATTTTGATATCGTAAAACCTACTGAGTCAATAGCACTGTCCAGTGCTATATATGTGTTGGTATGTGTTTGTAACAACTTTCTCTCCTATGGAAATGTTTCTCTCCTGTACATGTTTTCTAAGCTGTGCCAGCCTGAATTACGTATTTTATGATTTCTGAAAATGCCTACATTGGCCTGAACTATGGTTACAATGCTTGTTTCTATTTCTTACTACATCATATGCAAACTGGTTAAAGCAAAAAGAGAAATCTGTTTTACTAACTAAATCTGCACTATTTCTATTGACAGTTACTTTACTGTCAATATTGATAGTTTTGTAACAAGTTGTCAGTGTCCACCCACTGAGTTTCCCTAATAGGCATCAATTAAACACCATTATATAGTCTTGGAAACAAAACAGCCATTTCAAGTTGTAGGAATAAAATATAAAGTAAAATATGGTCATGACATTGATATGCTGAACGATGCTGCTGATGTTATGCGCCATTTCTGATCCACTACTGGGGAAAAAGCTTTTTTTTTTTTTCTTTTTAAAGTCTCTACTATTTTAATGGTAACGTGGTCTGCTTTGCAGGACATACAGCTATAAAACCACTTTCACTGCATTAATTTTTAAAATGTTTATTGTTCATTTTTGAAATGAAATGTAAGTTTTAGACAACACCTCAGCCTTGCTGTATGGGTATTCAGATCATGGCATGTAGCTGCTATAAAATTACTGTACTTGTGTGCATCAATCAATAACATGTTTTGAAACATGCTTAAAACAGTAATCCTTTTTTTTTTTTTCTCACATAGCTCTTCAGTAGCCTAGAGTGAAAATTATATGAGCACCTGAGCAACAACAGCAACACTAAACAGTAATTAATAATAGCAAGAACTATTCCTTCTTTTTTGTAAATTTTCTAAATATTTTATGAGTTTCAGCTTTAGAATGTTGAATTAATCTGTTTCATATTCTCTGTTGAGTTTAATGTGTGACTATGCTTTAAAAGCAGGAAATTTCGCGAGTTTTAAGTAGGTAGCTATTACTTTTTTTTATCCCTTCAATTAAGGCACAGAGAAAATTTTGTGCAGCCTTTTGAAAATCTTGAAAATAAGATGAATCAGCTTTTAAAAATACACACAATTTAGATTGCAAAGTCCTGAATTATTGAAAGCAAAGGCTACTCAGGATTTGTGACCCTTACTGGCTCTGCTCGATTTATAAATGAAGCAAACTTACCCTTGGCTTCTGTGGAGCCTTATAATAAATGTGGCTTCTAAAGACAGCAAATACAGAAGTTAGAAAAAGGGAACTTTCTTCAATAATAGAAACAGAGCTGATGATCTCTATGAGCAGATAAAATCTGTGAGAATGCAAGTCCTCACCTTTAGTAATTAATTGGTAGATATAGTTTGAAAACAGCTTCACAAAAACAGTATCCCTACAGAGTTTCTTCATGCTCTTACATGGAGTTTACCTTAGCAATCTTCTTTCCAGTATTATAAAGAAATGATTTTTCTTTGGTGCAAACTAGGTTGTAATTTTATGTGAAACAATCACTAAAATATAGAAGACATACATATTTAAAACTTCTGGTCAATAAGATGGGAAGAACATGTCAATAGGTATTGAATCTGGAAACTAACTATAGTAAATACAGCAACAACAAAAAACAGCTACAAAACCAGGTCACTAATTTCATATAATGTATTCCTTTATTGGGTGTGCTACTGTACTTAATCACTGCCATTTATAATTCAATATTTAGGACTTAAAAATCAAATTGCACTTCTTATTTCTTCTAAGACTCCTTATACAGGAGAGGGCTGGTGTCAGCTTGATACTGCAGTATTGTCCCATGGCTCTTTCATGCAGCTGAAAAACACTTTACTGAATAATCTCCACTGAGCAAAAAGCCTTTTTAAGAGAATTACAGAGAGTAGAAAAAATGGTGAGGAAAATGAAGAAAGTTAAGAAACAAACTTCCTAACCGTTATCACCTCCTTTTCATAATTCTTATTTCCGCTCCTATGAACTGAATGAAGAAAAAAAGAAATCTCACTGATTTAAAATAAAAACTGATTGTTGCTGGATTCAAATGACTGTTTCACAGTGGACTGTACCTTTTTAATCATGAGTCAAAAAGCCCCCATGCTAAAATTATGCACGTGGTGGGCAATTGTGCAGTTTGATGCAAGTTATACATTAGGATTTGCAAATTACTGTTTACATAGGAGAAAAGGTGTTCTCTTTTGATTACTCTGCCTGATTAAAAAAAACACTGTCTATTGTGTAGAGAGCAGAAGCCAATTTCTATATGCTGGCTCATTATTCCTGTACGTATAAATTGCTTGACAATATATTAGTAAGATTTTGAGATTCAACTATGTTAGAGCAGAGTGATGCGTAAGAATATTTTTTGTCTATGCCATGTCCACTCAGATAAAAAATGTATCTATTTGTTTTCTGAAATGCAAGATTGTGCACAGACAGTATGAGAATCTCAAATTAGTCACTGTTAATTCATGACATCCTCATGAATTTTTGAGTGTGTAAATCCTATGATGTACCAGGACATATGTTTCATTGAGTATGATACTTCTTATCTAGTTTTTAATCACTTTTTCTTAACTGTTAATTTTTCCCAAATTTAGATTTGATAAGGTATTAGGGTAATGCTTAAATATTCTAAGTATGGTCTTTAAAATTCATTTTTATTTCCAAAAGATGTATTCTGGTACAGTTTATTCCCTTTAAAATTCCCTAGTAATTTCTTTAACTTTTGGAGTAACTCTTGTCAAGTTTTAAGAAGACTGACTGAAGATATTTGGTCTTCAGCTCGTACACAAGGGTGTACCTTTGTTAACTTCAGGGAATGGTACTTATTTGCAGTAACTGCAGATGTGCACCATCGGCATACAAAATACTTTGCATTAAACTGTCTCTGTCAAAGCATAGGAAGTAGGAGCACAAGAAAAAAGTTCTATTTCTTGCAGCTCTGGGAAGGATATTAGGTGAACTCTCCAATAGTGTTTCTGCACACTGCTTTACAGGGAATTAAGTTAAGCCATCAAAATATTCAAACAAACATTGACAACTGGCTGTGTAAACTTAGTGTTCCCTTTGCGCGCTGTAAGTTCCGACATATCATTTCCCTACATAAATTTCTGTTTCACCTCATACATATGGTGCCACCTGCTGAACTGCTTAATGTTTTTCTTGCCTGGATAGAAGGAATAGGGGGGGAGATGGCAGTTCTTAACTTGATTTATTTATTTATTTTTCTCTCAGATGTACATAACGTGTGTGTAACAGATATTTACCTAAAAATGCATACCAAATACATAGCAGATTGAAATACTGTTTGTAACTGAAAGGGTTCTACACTGCTTGCAGAAAGCAAACCATAAATCAAGGAGTTTTGTCTTTTTGGATCCATCCACTTTTTTGATGGTACTATTTGCTACATACTCTCCTGTATATTTTTATCCTAGCAATTTACAGAAGTATTTGAGTGAGAAGGCTTCTTTTCTCCCTGGCATTTTTGCCAGTGAAAATGCAGTTCTGAATGAGTTGTTTGTTCGTGGTTGCGAATGAGATGCTGGAAGAGAATGGAGATATGAAAGGCAAAAGATGAAATAAAAAACCAGACATAGCACAAGCCTTGGCTCTGTTATCAGCAGTCTGCAAACAGTCTTGTTGAACATCATTATCTTACTGGAAAGCTTTTTCAGTATAGTTAATAGGTCACAAGATAATTACTGAGCAGTTAGTCAAAACAACAACAACAAAAAAACGAAGATAATTTTTTTTTTATACTTATCTAACCATGGATTTTGCTTATGCTTCCAGGTGCTTCACAGTTATAAAAGCTGAAATATCATTGTGTTAAAATACCACCTGCTGCAGGTGCCAGAGCAACACAGCAATGGCAAAATGTTGGTGGGAAGAACATCTGGGACAATGCCTTCTGTCCTTGTCTGGCAGGATAGAATACTGAACTCTCTTCTTTAACCTCTCCACTCTTGGCACTTTCCTGTACGATGGACCTCAGAATGATGCAAGACTGTAGTCTTTGTGACAGAATCCCTCTGAGAGTGAAACAATTTCTTTTCATCTGTTGTCTTTCCCCTGGGCACCTACCATAGCTTTTTTCTGTGTTTCTCAAACTTTTTCACTGGAGCATTTTTCAGAAAATTTGTAGCTCTTCTCCATCCCAAACCAACAGATTTTTGGAGAGTTGTTAAAATCATTATCTGCATTAGTATTAAGCAATTCAAATGCATAGTTAGGTCATTAAAGACCTGCAGAGCTAATGAGACACTCTTTCATTACTCCTTTTTCCTGTCGTCCAAGGTCATCTCACTGAGGGGACTCTCAGCTGTACACTCATGATCCCAGGTTTTGCATTACTCTATAGTCTGTAGTGTAGTCCTTTAGATAGCAGCATCTATTAGCATTTTGATGAGACCCTGCAGGCTCTCTGCTGTTATTTCCATGTAGCTCTCTCCAGACATTGTGATACACCATGCCACCACACGCCTTTCAGCTGTACTGCCTTCTGCACACTGCCTTAGCCCAAACTCACATCTCCAGTATCACACAGTAGCCTTCAGCTTTCATTTTGTGGCACCTAGACCCATTACGTGATCTTTAATTCAATTTTTACATGCATCACTCTAGGAGCCAGACCTGGCTCCTGGCAAGAAGGAGCTGGGCTGCGGATGTGCCAGGCTGGGGGTACCAGCTTTAGTAAGGGGAGTATACCGCTTATGGCAGCTCTGGATAGTTGAGAGTTGAGAAGTTCCTGCACACCTCTTCTTCCAGAGAAGGCTTATGCTTTCTGGTTGGTGTTGAATAGTCCAAGATCTACTTATAGTCATCCTGATTTTTATTTAATGTAGGTAAGATCAGATGGCTAGCAGGGCACAAATGAAGTGTGGTAGGTCTCTACTGGGTGGTAGCCTCTTCGGATGGCCTTGCTCAGGTAGGGGTTCAGTTGACCCTGTCTGTTCAGGGCAGAGGCAGGCTGACCTCGTCCATCACAGGAACAGCATATGAGCAGCAACTCAGCTGGCACCAAGTCTGTTGGGCTTCTGACTTTTGGCATTCTCCTGATAGGTGATGTTGACAAAATCTTTTTATCTGTGTATACCTTGCTTTCATCCTCAGTGAAGCCTGTGTAATGCTCTCAAATTGCTTGGAAAGCATGCTGAGATCTAGTCATAATAGACAATGTAAGAGTTAGGACTTACTATTTCGTTATTAACTTGCTTCACTACATTATGTATCTAACTTTGGGACTTGCTTTCTTTGTTACTTTGAAGTTTATTATGTTACTGTTGTTTTTAATATGCATGGCAGTAATTATGAATATCAGTGCATACACAATAACTAAGTGTACGTATATGCTTACTGACCTTGCTATTATAATAAACTTTCTTCAAGTATTTGTTGTCCGTCTAGAGACGTCTTATAAACTGTTTAGTTATTAAAGTTGCTAGTTTTTACTATGAAATACAAAAGTGGAAAACAGATATAACTATGTCCTCAAGTGCCTGCTTAATTTTAAAATAAGTCTGCTTTTTGTTTTCTCTTGACTCAGTCAGTCCTGCAAGGATTCTTGTCTTGATGATTTCAAATGAACTGTTCACATATTTAACTGTTAATGAGATAAAGATGGGTTTTGTTGGATTGGATTCTGCTTGACAAAGACCATTAAATTTTAGATATTTGCTACGCTGAGAAGAAATTAATTTCATACTGAAGATAACAGCTGAAAACACTGGAGGCAATGTTTCTTAAACAGTTGATAAAAATGATAAATTTAACTTGTAGCTATCCAGCCTTTTATAATATAAATGATATTGTCCCAAGGATGCTGATTATTATTATTATTATTATTATTATTTTAAATGACTGTCACTGTCTGTAGTTGCCAAATAATAAACGTAGAAATTTGTAATGAATCTAGACACCCACATTATATGCCAAATTTTGACCTTTAAACTAGTTCTTGTATCTCATGAAAAAATAGAGGTCTGCAGCACAACTGCTGACACATCCTTAACTGTAGCATTGCTACTGGGCGCCACTATAATATAGTACATATTTCTTTGTGAAAGAACTGAAAGCTGCAATAATATAGCTTAACTTTATGGTATCGAAATTCTCTGTGTTTGCACCTCCAGGGAGAAAAACAATTAGAGAAAGACAATCTACCTAAATAGTCTGGGAACTGAATTGCACTGTCTATGCTTCATTACCTTCCCTCTTTCTCATCTCACACTTTCCACAAATAGCATGATTATGTTTACCTGACATCTTCATGCTTCCCTGCTGAGCAAGCTGAGGAAGCCTGGCAGCTGAGATCGGCTGTGCTTTCTGTGAAGAACAACCTATATTTAAATGGTCCAATTCTTCAGCCATTTCAGTGAGAATCTTCAGAGCATCCTTGAACTCAGAAAAGAAAAATCTCTGAAATGGCTTTTTTTTTTTTTTTTAAATGAAATGATAGTAACTAGTGTTAGCGTGGCTGAAAATGTATTGATAATTGTTTAGTTGCTGGATAGATGGGCATGCCCAGAAATGCTAGATGTTGTCTCAGAAAGTGCTGTGATTGGTAGAAGGCTTACCAAAGGTGCCTCTTATCAGAAGTTGTTCAAGAGTGTTTCTTTTCAGAGGCTATTTTACTCTGCAACAGTAGTCCCTTTTAGTTGCACTCGAATAAAATACCTTTTACAGATATAAACCTTACTATAAAGAAAAAGATCTGGAAGAAAGTCTGCAATGAAAGTTACCAAATGGTTTTTCAGTGACTGCTTTGGAGAACTGAATCATAAATCCAGAACAACAGAAAGACTTGAGAAATACACAGGTTGCCCTTATACATAGCACGTGCTTTCTGTTTCAGACTTCTCAGGTAACAGAGAACAATTCAGTGCTTTCTTGTTCTGAATTGCCAAATTATAATTCTGATAAGCAAAATAATAATAATAATAATTGGACGCAATTCTTCAAATTAGAAAACAATATTACATGTAAGAATTTAATGACATTTCACGGTACTTACTGTTAATTAATAAACTATGACTGTATGAGTCTTAGCAACAGCAAACAGGACCTGGAGATGTATATATTTTATATTACACTAATATGGGCTCAGATCCTTCAATCTCTCATTCAAGTAAAAGATTTTATATAAAAGAGTATTACTGCATTAACATTTTAAAACATTTGTATAGACGTGTAATTTCTGCAACTGCTGTTTCATGCATTTTTGTAAACTATAGAAAGTGATGCAAGGGACCAGACCTGCTCTGATTTGTATGTTTGTGGCTTCTTTTTTCTTAGTGCTTCTTTAAAAAATAATAACTAGTTAGGGTTTCTAGAGGTTTTAGAACCAGCTGGCTTTAACTGGAACTTAGTCACTTTTAGGTTTAAGCTCTATCACCTGTCTCCACATTTCATCTCCTAGTGCCAAGAAAATATTAACAGCCAACATCATATTTCACAGTTTCCCTTAGATTTTGGAAACAAGCCACTTACACAATCTTGTTAGCCTTTCCCCTGCTTTATTTCTCTTGAATGTTAGCATATTTCTATCATGGAATCTGACAGTATTAATTTTATCAAAGCTTATTTTGGCCCAATGACAGTGAGTGTTTAGAAACGCCCTCAAATCAAATATGGGCCACAGAGATCTTTTTCCATAAGTGGATTTAAGTTCTGGGATCTCTCAGTAATGTGGAGTCACCAGCTGAGGGTCTAGATCTTAAAGTGAGAGAGAGAGAGCAGAACTCGAGGACCTAGCTCTGAAACAGCTTCCAGAACAAGCAACCACATGGCCACTGTGGTGGAGTGCTTTGCTTACCCAATTAGTAGTGGCAGAAGGCAATACTGATGCAGCTTTGCTGCTTTTAGAGACCAACCTGGCATTTCTGTGAAATGCTCTGCCACACAGTTTGTGTAGCAGGTCATTCAGAACCAAGTGCAAGACTTCTATGTTGCAGGACATTTCACAGTGTTAGGCTTACTCAGAGAGACCTTCCTGAAAGTGTGTACTATGTGCTAAACTACAGATTGGTTAGTTGCATGGAAAATATCTCAGTTTTCTGTTGCTATTAAAAAGAAATGAGAGAGGGGGAAAAAAAAAAGAAGAAGAAAGGAAAGCGCAGCTTTCTAGACCAATGTCTTGAGAAGTAGAAATAAGCAAGTCCATTATTAATAACTCCAAAAATATCTCTTCAGCTTTTCCTATATTGGGTCAGCTTTGTGATGGGTGCCAATCTGCCTGCTTTCACTGATTAAAATAAAACTGCAGTGATTTACACCTGTGTTGACTCAGCACACTTGCCCTTGTAAGTAGCCTGTGATAAAATAGATCAATAAATAAAATAAAAGCACAAATCCTGTACTATATAGATATTGTTTAAATAATTCATTATGGCTGTGGGGATAGAAGTAAATACAAAGAAAAATGCTTGGCTTTTGAAATACTAGCTAGAGCAAAGTCTTTTACACTTTTCAACTGGAGTAGCTCATATTTTCTTGCTATGTACTCTTCAAGAACTTATAAAAGTGCACAACTTTTTAGGGTCTCTCTTATTTATGTGGAAAAGCTGACATAGTCCCGTAGATCGAAGCACTGTTCACAACTCCAAGCACTGAAACAAATGTGGCCGTGTAACATATAAATTTGCAGTTTGTTTATTAAGTTGGAAAACAGCCCTGCTACCATACTTTATATCTTCTCACTATAAAATTCAGAAGCAAATTACTCCAAAATTCCACACTAAGCAAGACAACTTATTTGTTCCAGCATACCTAAAGAAAAAAAGGCACTAAAATAATTTTTAGTGATGAGATGCTCCAGTTATTTTTTGAGGTATTTAAAAGCCTCTGCTGAAGTTTATAGATCTTACTGATGACTTTCTAGTTCTTTCAGTTCTATGCAAGTCAAGCATATTCACTCTTAGACTCTAACAAAGTCATTAGAAATATTCTCAAGGTAGGATTTTAACAAATGACTTTACAACCATGTGTAGCTCCAGACCCAGCAGATGACTCAGAACGCCATTGTTCAGACTTTTTTCTGTCATGTCTTGGGGGAAGCAGTTCTGATGCTATAAGTATTAACAGATGAGATACATCCTGCCTTGCCCCTTCAAAGAGTTATAGAAATGATGGGATAAAAAAATCCTTCTTATTTTCAGTAAGTTGGAGTGAAGATACCACGTGTCAGTGGAATCAACCTATGCCACAAATGAAGTTCAGGTTTAGAAATTTTTATTGCTTTGTATTTGTGACTGTATTTGCTACCAGAAGTTCTTGTGTAGATATCCACTCTTAAAGAAATAAAATATATGAGGTGGAATTCTCTGTAAATAATAAGCTAACTTTAAAGGCAGTGTACAACCTGTGTAAGTGTGACCCTCTAACAAGTGCAGGTCTTTAACATGTTAGGCTTTTCCGTCATACTTGACTGCAGAATATTACTGTAAAAAAAGCGTCAACTGATATAATTAATATATGAAAGCATTAAAAAAAGAGGATATGAGAACATGCTAAGGGCTACCAGATTGGTTTAAGCCAGCAACTTGTCTCTAGAAGTGTCATAAATAGATGCTCAGAGACATGCTGCAATGGTACATGGTGCTTCTTTTATTGGGTCTTTAAACAAAGAGATTTACCAAGCTCCTGAGGCCCAGGTTATATTTGGAAGACCATGCCTAACAGTGAATAATGTACTTTTAATAACCACCATTCTGTTTGCCTTCCTAAATTTTTTTCATTTTTGGCCGCCTTAATTCTGTGTAGTATTACAGGTCTGTGAAGTTCACAGGTTGGTTAGCAACTGCTTAAGGAAGTGTTTCTCTCGGTTCACTTGAATGCCTTCTGCTTGTTGCCTTCTGAACAAATGGAAGACCTTCACTTATTCAGAAATCTTCAGCCTTCTGTCTTGTTAGTCATCCTGGTCCCTGTTCAAAAGTTTTAGTCAGCTCTAACTTCTTTCAGATGGAGATGGATTAGTATATCTAATCATCTTTGCAGTCTGTTGAGTCTCTTCTGAATCAAGAAGTTAAATTATGCAAATTAAGCCAGGTAGGAGTACCTGAACAGCAGGTTTGTCTGTACTCTGCCTCATCTCCGAGATGAGCAAAATATACGCAGCCAGGTTGGTGAAGTGGGCTAGCTAGGATGCTGAACAGCATTTTCATCCTGCTAACATCATCATGTAGTTTTTGGACTTGATCTGGATTATCATGACTGATTGGGCTGTGTTTAGAGCTGCTTTCACCTTCATATATGTTGCTGTAGCCTGATGCTATGCTATCCTCCAATTTCTCCATTAGTTAAGTTACAATGGGACACAGTTTCCTTTGTGAAAATAGTGTAAAAGTGACAAAATAGTCTTTAAACTCAGAAAATTTTTAGTTAATGAGTGACTGGGGCTGCCAAATCTGATAAGAAAGTATTCCAAGCACCTTATCTTTGTCTCCCTCGGTTTCCTTCTTTGCTTTGGTAAAGGCAATACACTTAAATAATGGATGTTAAAACCCAGCTGTGTTTAAATCAAAGGTAAAGAATTCCACTGACTTTACTTTGGCTGGGATTTACCTCAAGGTATTTATTAACTTATTCTGTGTTAACATTTGTAAGATCTGCTTAAAAAGAATATCACAGTACTGCCCAAAAAGGTCACAGTATCTGTAAGATGTATATTTTTACAGCATAAAATGCATGTTACCTGTGAATAATTACAGAATATTGTCGTCTTGATCTATATGTTTCCGTTCTTCCTCCAGCAGTATCACTGCCAGCATCTCTCTTCATTTTAGTGTCTATGTCTTGGTCTCCACCAGGACTGCCTTAGAGTAGCAGGGAAAGAACATTTAGCTGGCCCAGTAGCCAGTGGAGGAATTAAGGTTTGGCTCTAAGAGACTTAATCTTGTAAACATGGTTCCATTCTAAAATGGTGTAACATCCACAACATTGAAGAGATT